GATGCAACCAGTGTAATCGAGCCTTTAACAAGATGTCCAATCTGAAATTCCATATGCACACCCATTCAGATAATTTGCCATTTCACTGTAGGACTTGCCGCAAACGTTTCTCGAAAAAGACAGACTTAAAAGAACACGTTGAACAAGCGCATTGAGAATTCTCAAAGACTTATCCGAATAATTTGTTGGATTCGCTGAAACATGACAGAAGCACTTTTTTTGTGCTTAATTAACCTTTTTTTACTTTGTCGAGGAATTGACTCTAATTTAACTTCTAAATAACAAGAGCACTCATTTATAAGTCAGTTTACTAAATATTTCCAACAACATTTTTCTACCTGGGAATAAAGGCATTTAAAAACTCCATTCGCAAGTGGAAGAACGCGAGCAAATTTTTTAAAAAAGCAACTTGCAATTTGTACTTAACTGAAATATTTGTAGTTAATCATGTTAACATGATTTAGAATTATCACGGAACTAAGAGTTCCATAGGAAGCACAATGAGCTGAATTTTGAAGTATTTATGCTCTCTTGAATAATATTCCAAATACTTATACTTTACTAAGTATGATCGAGACCAAGAGGCACTGGTGGTAATGTTGTTATTTTAATGGCTATGAAATAAATTATCCTCATTTGTCAAGAGCAAGTACAAGGAACGATTCAGTAACCTCTTTACAATGTTAAAATTTCAATTTAGCACTTAAATTTATTTACACGATCTTGAATAAAACCGCACTATTGAATATTCTTTGCATGGCAATAAATTAAAGATTCGTGAAAATGAAGACCACTAGTTGTTTTTTGCCTGAAGTTTTAAACCGTCAAGTAATTCTCACACTTGTTAATGACAAAACTTCAAGTTATAACTGCCATCTTCCCTGTTCTAATTGACTAGTGCTGTTTAACCTTTTTCGTGTCTTCCCTCGAAGCGACACTGTATTCCCTTTGTTAAAATTCCGTTGAATAAACTCTGGCAGGTGGAATTTTTTTCGCTTAGTTATTGAGCTTTTGAACGCCGGAAACATGCTTTGAAAACATACTGTTCCTTCAATTGTTTAACTGCAAAAAAGATGATTAACTGTTCACAGTATACCATTGCTTTCCCGCCTTTGAAAATTGTTCACTGTCAGGGGTGAATTGAGTGATAAGGCGCTCGCGAGTCTATTAAACCACAACATCTTAACTTATTGCCACAAAAATACCTCCCGCAGGGCCATTTTTTTATTTAGACACCCTGTATCACTCTCCAGACGTAATGGAATACATTAAATTAATTGGGGCTTTTCTAATACAATGCGCTGAGGAGCAAAATGGATGCGGCTCTCGTCAAGGCAATTAAAACCCCTCCAGGAACCTGAAAATCATGCTGATATCTCGTTTCTTGTTTTTTTTTTGGGATGGCAAAGAGGAGAAGCCAATGACATCCGAAAGCAAAGACACCACCAACGTAAAGCTGACCCTTTAAACTTTAAACTGTTTAGAAAAGGGAATATGCGCGATGAAGGCGACTTTGCAACGAAACTAATTTGGGAGGCTAGTGATTCAGATTTCTCATAAAATATCGACTTCAGCAATTAAATCAACAGAAAACGAAACATAGTAGTCGCAATAAAGCCACTGAACAACCTGCTAGGAAAGAGGATGATTTCTATTTTAATGTGAATGCCTTAGTTTAAGAAATAAAATTGTCTACAAAAAAAAATTTGGCCCTCGCCAAAAAAAAAAAATTATTGACACACAGCCGATAAATCGAAAAGAAGTATTATTATTAGCAATTTTCGTGGGACATAAAACATTTAAAAAGTTCAAGGATAAACAATTTATCTGTTTCTACTGAACAAACTTTCTTGTCAACATTAGTCACTCGAAATGTAAAGTTGTTTCCTCCGGGTTCCTCTACAACTGACTATAAAGCATGCAAAAAATTCGGCTATATATTTTTTGATACATTTTCTTTTTTGCGTCGATTGTATACAGTCTTCAGTATTACCTAAAAGGAAAAATTGCAAGCGAAAATGCGATTGAGCAATCACACCCACAACCGATGCTACACCGAAAATACTCATTTCTCAAGCTCATTAAAATTTAAGAGCCTTAATATTGCAAACAGATAGAATTACTAAGGAGAAAAAAGAAGGGGTTTTATTAGCATTGAGAGTAGAAAAAATGGTGAAAAAAGAAAAAAAGAGGAAAAGAGAAAGAAAAAGAAACTTTATCAGAAAGCTAACATTGGATGCCTGATAGATAGAAAATTATTATTTGGTAAACAAATTAAGGATATTTCAAAACAAATTTCACAAGAGGGACATGCTTAGCCTTGATTCATAAATTTTTAAACTAGTATATAAGCTGCAAAAAGTCGGAGGTTTTTTAATATGTGAAATGTGGAATTAAAGTTCATATATCCTAAATGTTTGCTTGCTTCTTTGTTGTCGTTTGCCAGCATTTCTGGTCATGATAAACCTTGACAAAAAAAAAAAAAACAAATACGCTATTGCGCTAAATATTTTACGAACAGTTGGTGGTTGTGACAAGAGGATGATCAATTGAATCTCAAGTGAAATAAAGACAATATTTTTTATTAGAAAAGAACAACAAGCGCGCGTGTGGCGTCCCAAGCGTTTTGTTGTTGTTAATTTATGACTTGTTCTTGTGATAATTGTGTGTATTCTGACTGTTCATTGACTCCAAACTTCCCCGCTGATTAGCAAATAGGAAAAGCAGAGCAACCCGCTAATATTCGCACGTATCATTACTAAGAAAACAATGGATGTTCACCTTGATGTTAACATCTATGTTAAATTGTTTTGATTGTGTTTTGCAACTGCAAAGGCTCTAACCCCAGTTCATTTCCGATTGTTAGGGTTCGTAAGAAACAACACGCGCAGTACACACGCTTCACACCTAACTGTATCCTGAATCAGTTCTAAAGTACTTTGGGTGAATGCAAAGAGAAATGTTAGAAACTTTTTGTACGGCAAAAAATAAAAGCACAACAGGGGATAAGGAAATATCAGCGTCTTGTTCAACAACTTTCTTCTGATTTGACTATTCAATAATTTCGTCCATAAGCTAAGCTTGAACAACACTGTTTGCTGTTTGGAACAAACAGCCTTACGTTCATTGAGCTGGTCTTGAATTCAAAACGAGGCTTCTTTTTAAGTGGGCGTAAGCTTAAATTTTGAATCACCTCGAGCAGTCCCGCAAGCCGTATATTTTTCTTTATATTTTCCAAGTTAAGTGGCTTAGAGATATTATATTTAAGAAGATTATTCCCTGATTCAAATCAGCAGCTAATGACTTTTTCGGCTTGTAGCTTCATTTTATAAGTGAAACCGCAAATGTGTCTTATATTAGCATAATGATGGTTTGTGTTAAGGCTAAAGGTAGTCTATTTGGAGCCTTTCATGCATGCAAAGTGGAATATCTAGTTGCAGAAAAAAAATGAATAAAAACAATGTCAGTTGTATCAGTCAAGTTTCAACTGAAAATTGAAGTAGCGCTGAAATTTAATTTTTGTGTTGAATATTTTTGTACTACTCTTGGCAGTTGTAAATAGTGACTGAAACGGCTGTTGAATTTATTACTACAAAACATTTTTAATTCGTGACTGAAAATGTTTTTCACAGCATTGCAAATATCGATAAAGAGTAGTTCCTTAGTGGACGGTTAAAAATTTCATTTAATAGACGTCATTTATTTCGTCATTTATTAAAACTTATAATACCAGAACCGAAGAGTCTGTTTTTTTACGCAAAACTACATACAGCTGACATTAACAGCGAGATGAATTTGAAATGACTAAGAGATTATTCTTGAAAGAACAAAACATAGCTCATTTTGTTGAAAAGATGGCAAATCAGAAAACGCATCTCTCTTTGCACTGTATTTAGTGTTGTAGTCTACATCTTTCTTAGTATAAGCAACAAGCCGCAGTTTGGTATCATTTTTCTCAGGTGGAACTTGGCAGAATATTTTTAGAAATGCAACCAAAAGTATTGTTTTGATTTTGTGCAGTATTTAATGATAATTTTTCTCTTACGCGAGAAGTCGTCTAAATGAAAGATATACTTTACTCTGGAAAGCAAAGCCAAAAAAAGTAATGTGACTTATTAAAAAGGACTCTGAAATCCTGTCAGGCAATCGTTTTATCGGTTAAAAAGAAGCTGAAACTCTTAAAACTCTGAATAAAAGGTCAGACACGACAAAAAAACTAACCGACAAAATGACAGCATGAATGAGTCAGGCGGCAAGAACGATCGAAAATGTTGTTTGCATAAACCAACATTCTGGCTGTCCGTCAAGTGTATAAGATGTGCTATGGTTTCCTAGATGGGAAATGGGACTATTTGATTCCAGATAGAGAAAGGAGAATACGACGAAGCCATGATTTTACGTGTATTATACCGAAAGGACAGAAGGATAGTTTTAGATTTTCTTTCTTTCACCAATAACTGAATGGAACAAACTCCCAAAAGAAACTGTCACCAGCCAATATATAATTCTTGTCTATTTTTTAGAAGTAAACTCTTTTAGGTTTTTTTTTGTTATCAGTTAATATTGGTTTTATTTGCAGTTTTGGCTTTTATTATCTTTTTTTTTTCAGTTTTAGAGTTGGCGTGATGTCCCTGGATGTTGCCGACAGAACAACATTTAGAAATGGCAAACAAAAGTCTAACTTACTTCGTAGCCCTATCATATCAATAAAACCATTACCCATCCTCTATTTCGTTCCCAGTCCCCTTATTTCATTTTCCTTTCCGGGTGCTCGTTTCCATTTACCGTTTCTTGTTTCCTGTTTCCCTTCTCCCTTTCGCTATTTTAGTGGCATCCTCTACGTGAATTTGCGCTAATATCAAAAGAAAAGAAAAAGTTTATTTTACAATTTAGTTTGAATTCTGAAATTGGCTCATACATTTCTAGACAATAAAAAGAAGTCTTCATTGTTTTCCGGTATGAAAAATCGGGGATCATTTCTAAGGTAATTCCTGCACTTTTTAATGGCCTTCAATGTACAAGCCTGTAGCTGCATTCTGTTGAAGAGAAAAAAAAATCATTCAAAAGGTCATGTTGTTTCAGTTATTGCGGTCCAAAAGACGCATTTTTAAAAACTTTAATTCCGAAATGTGACGTCATGGGTCTTTTGACAAGAGTTTAATATATAACAACCAAGTACTCATTACTAATAGGCCCTTTATAGCCAGTCATCTACGTGGTGCAAAGCCCAAAGCAGCCGAATACAGTCAACTTCCTTTATAGCGGACACTGTAGGGACCTTGACTTAGGGTCCTCATTAGCGAGAGTCCGTAATAGCCGCAATTTTTTTGCCTGGGATTTAGCTGCCCTCTGTATTATCGGGGTGTCCGTTTTAGCGAGGTGTCCGCAAGGCGAGAGTTGACTGTAACAACTCAGTGCTCATTATTAATAGGCCCTTTATTCATTCACGTGGTACAAAGCCCAAAGCTGGAGGGTAAGGAAAGGACTGGCACAAGACAAACAAAAGGCTAACATCAGTCAACTGGACATTTGCTGTTTTAGGTCAATGGAGAGGAGAAGTCGTTACGTCACTTTGCCATGGTAGCAAAATTTCTGGATGACAACAAACCAAAACGTGAAAAAGTGGATTTGCCCTGTGTCAAACTTCATCGATGTTATTTAATTTCATTTAATTTGTCAGATGTTGGCGAAAATTTCTGGGTTAAATCCGAAAGGACCTTATCTAAGTTTAGAAAAAGAAAAAGAAATTTTTTGCGTTGTGCTCACCTACTCAATAAAGCGGGCGCGTGAAATTAGGAAGTTTCATGTCGCAGTCGTGCAACAACGGCTAAGAAATGTACAAAAAAGCGTGATGCACGTGCAAAGTTGTTTTTTTGGCCAATCTAAACCTGTCTCTTTTTACTGTTCGCCTTCACCGTCGCTGAAACTCCCTATGGTTGTCATCAAGAAATTTTGGTACCATAGTAACGTGACGTCACACTTCACCTCTCTACTCTGTGCTGAAGTAATTACTTATTGCCTTTTAACCCATACACAAACTTCTCCTGTAGAGTTATGAAGAAGATAACAAACAAATTTCATCAGGGAGCTCTAACCATGATATTATTTTGGTGACGTTGCAGGCATGGCACTGAAGGCCAACTTTTTCAAATTTCAATCCATGTCCATCCTTGTCATCCGTTGTAACAGACCAGAGACAGGAAACAGTTTCAAAACCTGAACATAGTCTTAAATAACAAAACTGGACCATTTTTATTTTTCGAATTCAGCTGATGCCAAAAAAGTTTTAGTTTTGTAAAACAAAAGAGCAAATAGCGTGAAATAACGCCTTTAAAGCGCCAAACAATTTGAATATTGGTTGCGCGCTGTCCATATTTATACCTGTACGTTATACAGCAAACTCTCTCCTGACAAAGAATCAGCGAAACCATTTGACCAAAGACTGTAACAATCCTGTGCTGAAGTTTCACTGGAGTTAGGTATTGGCGAGGAAAACTGAGATCCACTAGAAACTGCCTGATGATGAGGAGGAAACTGGAAACTAGGCAACTCGGTAAATGTTGGCGGCGGGGGAACTGGGAGCTGAGTCGGATTTGGGTACTCGGAGATCCAGGGTCCCGATTTCAATCCTCCGTTTGGATCCATTTCATAAGCGGGTGGGTATATCAATGGAGTGTTATAGCCATCAGGAATACTATTCTGAATGGAATCTTTCAGACTTTGGATGTAGTTTGTAGCGATCCGCAGCAGCTCTAGTTTTGTCTTCACGCGGGTTTCCTCGTAGTTCGGAATCGTACTTCGCAGCTCTTCAAAGGCGTCGTTCATTTTTCTGACCCGTTCTCTTTCTCGACGATTTGCTAAGACTCGCTTGGCTCTTGACATTTGCCTTTTTCGTGACTTCTTTGCTCTTTCCTCCATCGTAGAGTCCATGACTGGGGAATTAATTGGATTAACATGTCACATTCAGTAATCTTTTGCAAGGTTATGTTCACACTATATACCGAATATTATTTTTACCGGCACGAAAACCATACCGGATAAGGTTTCTGTTCACACATAAGAACATTGATTTGGGGGCGATTTTTGTAACGAAGGGAAGCTGCGCTGCGCCGCGCTGATCTCTAAAGGGAGAGTCGTGTATCTGATAGGAGTTCGTGAATACTATAACCAGATACGAAAAGCTATATCTATCCAGTATTGTATGAACATAGCCTCAAGCTTTTCGTTCTTAATTTTCACCACTATGTTCAATGCGAAGGCGAAATACAGCCGTCTCGGCTCCTCGCTCCTCACGCACCGTCTTGGACATTTCTCTAGTGGCGAGAAGCGAGCCAGAGACGGCTGTATTCGAAGGTTGATGATTGTGTCGACGAAATCATTTGTCGACTATTCAAATGAATTCTCAAGCTCTTTTGCAAATTATTTAAATTTTATCACACCAAAACGTGACTAAAACAACTGTTTCATATGGTTTGAATATCGTTAAAGCATTCAAATTATCAAAAATTAAACATTCCTTGGATGCCGACTTGGAGGAGTGTTGAACAACAAATTTGTCCACCATTTAAAAAAATCGCTGGTAAATGACGTGAAGTGTTAATATGAAAACGTAGCTTTACAGAGACTGGGCCGCTGCAACTTAAGGTTGTTTTTAACTGATTAAAGTCAACTCTCTCGTAGACTCGACCGTCATCAGGACCCACAATATGTGTCGGTCTTAGGGCCTGTTTACATGGAGTGGGGGACCCCGGTCTAGTGGGGTAAGTTTCTTTTGTTTTGTGTCCCCCAGAGCGTGAAAACAAAAGAAACTTACCACACTAGACCGGGGTCCCCCACTCATTTTTTAATTAGGGGAGTCTTTGGGAGATGTCCGTCTTATTGCAAGAGTCAGCTATAAAATGGGTAAAGAAAGGCAAGGACCAACTCTACGTGTCTGTTTCAGTACGGTTAAGACAGAGTTGACCAACGAATAAGAGATGACCTTTTTTAAAGTTGGTAGCTAGAATATTCTTAGTAGTTCTCAGGGAGTTAAGGTGATTCATTTTAATTTCAGTAAGAGGTGAAAAAACTTATTGTTTAGTTTCCGAATAGCATTAAAAATATCAAAGGTTTGGGTCATTCAATTTTCATACAGCAGTGAGATATGATCGTTTATTTACATACAGGACTGAGAAGACAAATAAATAATCAGATAATACTTTCCTTATTTTTCAGCTGTTGGTGCGATATGGTGAATCTACTCATTATGCCTTTGATTTATGTTTGTTTTTCACATTTGATAAATGAAAAGATAATTATTTGCAAAAGATTTACTTGAAGTTGCTGTTACCACTGAATTAATGGCTGATAGGCTTTTCATTTGAATCATTCCAGGCTTTACTTCTCGCTGTTCACGCAGATTGGTGATTTTTATGCCACTCAAATAACCGCCTCCCGAGCATGCCATTTAAAGCAAGCAAATACTCAAAACTACAAATCTGTTTAATTTTTTGGACAGGATTAACGTAAAACTCTTACAAGCTCTTCCCTTAAAAAAAAATTCCGATCACCAACTAGGGGATGTTTCACTTTTAATTTCTTTCCTGCGGCGGTTACATCGCAAGACAACAGTTGAGATTGCGAAAACATTGTCCCAACAAAGTAAAAGAAATAAATTAGTGTGCATTTCGAGAATAACTGCTTTTGAATCTTTCCGGGAATTTGATTTGCCTCCCTGATTTACCCAACGCAACTCAGAAATTATGATTAATAAAAACAGCCTTATTTTTGGGTAAATTGTTCAGTAGAAAAGCTGGCACATTGTTCATCAATTTGTATCAGACGTCAGCTGACTTACTCAAAAAACATTATTTCCCTTCGATAACAAGACGTGCCTTTAAACATATTTTTATTCTCACTGCTTCTGATTTGGGTATTATTATTACGTTATCGAAATTAATCATTGCAAAAGCATATTTGGCCACACATCGCCCGAATAAATGGTATACTCTATTCACGCAAAAATTCTTTCAAATTCGACCTTAACTTGCTTACGTTAAGGATATTTATCAGGCAGGAAGTGGGTCCGGAAAGGCGCGGTAAACGGTTTAATTGTCCACGTGCTATTATGATTCCGCTTTCCTAAATAAATTCCACCGTAAATAAACTTCAGGGAGAAGAAATAGACTATTTCCGAGTTACCTTAATTTGTTTTAAGCGAGGATAAGTGCCAAGCTATTGATATGAAAACCATTTTTTTTTTCATTTTCACAAGTAAGGTTTTGTATTTCGCCTTGTTTGGAACTCGTACATGGCCTGATTTGGAGAGGGAGGAGGTGAGAGTCATTAAATGTAACTGCAACGATTGTGCCTTATTTAGGCGGAAATCTTGGACCGGTTCTAATTGATAATCTATAGCTAACACCACAGTGGCCAACTCTATCGCTGTCGTTCCTTTCGCTACTGTTCACTTCCATGTTAAACCCTAAATCCTCTATTAACCCCCCTCTTTTCAGAGGAAGAAAGTTAATAAGCCCCCCTCTCTTTTAAGCCCCTCTTTCCTCCCCCAGTATTACTGTTCACTAACAAATGACAGACCGTATTTGTGTATTAATCAATCACGACTGTAAAACTTCATTTGGACAGATCTAGGATGGTTTATTAACCAGCTGGAAGATCAGATTTGTTTTTGATCCTCGGCTGCATGACCTCCAACTTCTTGACTTGAGCCTTTCCACTTTGCATTGTAGTTCATTGTGGAGAACTGATACCATCGTCTTAGCTAAATGAAATAAGCCCCCCTATCAAATAAGCCCCGCGTCTCCCCCTAAAAGTGTTTAAAACAAATAAGAACCCAGGGGGTTAATAGAGGATTTACGGGGAAATTCTAACAATTGTTAGTACTAAGTAAATGCTCTTTAAACAGTGTAAGTATAAGTAAAAGCAAATAAGTTGACGTTGATAACCTTCGATTATTTTTGGTGTGCAAACGGAGGCAACATGTACTATCTAACAATGTTGGGAGTTGTTGGCCAACGATGTTGCGTCCGTTCGGCACGCGATCACGTTTACCACAAACAGCAAACTTCAGATTCAAGTTGAGAATTTCTCAAAATAGAAAACAGGAAGATAAAAGCTGTCCAGAACAATTCTTATGGATAAAACGGGCGTGAAATTACTAATCTTTTTTTCAGAAGTAACTGATCAGTAAACGACAATAAGTACAAATTCACGTCGTCACGTTTAGCGTAACTCTCTAACATGTATACTGAATATTTTGGATGAGATTTTGAATTAACGAACTTTAAGAAGGGCCGATCTTCGTTCGAGTAAGTTAAGGCTCTAGAAATAGTTTTCACTGAAAATTCTTTAACAGAGGAAAGCGGAGGGATATGTTTCCCGTGACATTGTCGCCTAATTGTTTTTTGACAGTTCGGCATTGTTTATTATTTTACCTTATCTTTGATGACTTTGTGTTGTTGTCTCAAATGGCTGTTTTGACTGAGAATTAACAATATGTATTTTATCTATCAAGGTTTAAGCAAGTGTGCCGATATGAAATTCAAGTAGCGGATACTCTGGTGTTTCCAATTAAAGATCCAATATTTTAAGTAAATTCAACTCCACGAGAAAGTAGTACTGTTAAAGACCCGTAGATTAAAAGTGCATTTTCTCTCCAACTTGTAGAGGAAAATAAACGTTACTGCTCAATTAAGTTTCTTCAGCTTTCCCGATTTTGTTTATAGAATCACTGACAGAATTTCATCGATAGTCTCAAAAGTTTGAATCTTCTGAGCAAGGCAATAAATACACTTGGATACAACTTTTCTTCATGGTTACACTCTGACACAAAAGCTTAGAGCCACTTAAAGTATAATAAAGAATCCAAGGATTGAAAAACTGTTTAAAAGCGGCTAATTATTTGTGTAAACGCAACTGATCGACATTTAAATGTGGATAAACCTTCTGTAATAGATGATCTGAAAAAGACGAAAAACCATGATAGGGATCATTTACAGAGCTATCAGCGGGGAAATTGTAAAGATAAGGTCAAAAAGTCGACATTTAAGAAAACTACGAGAAAACCTTAGGGTCGGTTATTCGAAGTTTAACTTAAGCCGCGGTTTAACAAATGTTTGGACCTCCAGGTCTCTTCCGTAATGGATTATTTTAAGAAGATAAATGCTTTTCTGGGGTACTCTATATTCTTTCACAAAACTTTTCACAACGAATGGTGTTTAGATTAAACCATTGGGCAAATTGAAAATGGCTTAAAACGTGGTTTTGTTAAACACTGGCTAAACTACGTTTAAATAACTGGCCCTTTGTGTCTTACAAAAATTACTCACAATCCACCATGTACTGCATGGTTGACGGCACTCTATCCGGTTAATCTAAAGAAAAAGGCCAGTGTCGAACGTCGAAATTCACATGTGACAAACTTCATGCTAACAGAGCAATAATTATTATTTTTTTTCCATGCTGAGATCAGGTTTGTCAAATGTGAAGCTCTACGCTGGTTTCAGGTACCTGTGCCTTATCCGCCTTTAAACGGTCCAAAGCCTACTTAATCTCCGGCCATTTCAAGCGAGCTTCTCTGCAGCACTTGCCAAAGTAAACGTTGTTGGTACTAGATGCTTCTAGGAAATTCGGATTCGAATTTTTAAATTTCCAAATGGATCGCGAACGACAAAAAGCGGAGTTTGATGCACCGAAATCCTTTTGCTCAGTTTTTTTCAGATATGACCAACTCAGAATGCAAAATCAAAATGTAGGTTTATCCTTTGTATGAATTCAACCGACAACTGGAATTCAATATTCCATGATGCAAGTCCGGATGACCATCAATCGAAAGCACAAGGGTGCGATTTTCAGAAAGCATTGGCTCTTGGCCTTGGGATAAAACAAAAACAACCACTCGCAACATAGCAAAGCGGACGCGGATCTGCCTC